CTCATATGCTCAGTGATCTTTTCAGGTCCCAGATTAACTAGGGAATGTTCAGAAAAAACCTGGGCAGGTGTTAGCTTGGACGCGGGTTCCCTTATTGTGAAAATAAAGATCCTCGAGATGTCCAATCTCTTCACGAACTATAAGAGAGCGGCAGCGATTATCTACGGTATACTTGATCAATCACTTGAACCCGAGCCGAGGGTCCTGTGGCCAGTGCCCGATGATATGAATAAGGATACTCGTCAACTTCCACTCCATGATAACTTCTCCTCTTCTCACTCTAGAAAAGATACCACACTCCTGTTCTAGAGGAACGATAGCCAAACTGTGTATACCTTACAGCAGTGAGGGAACAGAAACTGTCACGAATATTTGCTTTGCAGTTCTGATCCTCAACACTTGTACAACTATGCCTTCCATCCTTTGGCATTGTTGATCGGTAGCTAAGTTCGTGAAGAAGCTCGGACTTCATCTCATCATAGCCCCACCCGTGGGAGAGGTGTTGTTGGTTTAGAAGTATTTCCGTTATTCTTCTGGGAAAGGGAATGAAATGCACAGGCAGGCTTGGTTCAATCCAGTCAACTTCGTCCATCCTTTGCGGCCTTGTCTGAAGATATGACTTCGGTTCTCTTCTAACTATACGGTAATAGTGTTGGTGGCACGCGATAACCTTCTGCGTGTTCGCCCACACGTCGTTGCCCGACTGACGACGTCATCGGCAGTGGCGTTGCCGTCGTCGTCTCACTCGCAGTGGCAGCTTCTCACGCTCACTTCAAGCTGAGGCAACCATATTCTATCGTCGGAATCAATTGTTCCGGACGAGAGAGAAGGGGTAGAGAGGGGGAGGGGCAGCTCTTCGCCTCCACGCTCTTCGGCTCGCTTCGTACCTCGGTCGTCGGCCACTCTTTTGCCTCTCCATCAGTCGCACGCTCTCTCCGATACACCACTGGAGGGTCACGCACGGCGATAATGTATCCCGGCTTCTCGCCAGTGCCCATCACAATCTTTGCCTTTTCGATTTCGGAAATTAATTTGCATATTGATTGGTTTAGAGACTCTCAATTCTTGGCTCAGCCGATTTGGGTTCGCCTTCCCGGAAGGTGTACTCGAGGCCCTCCTTTTATCCCTTCTCACGTTTCTTATGCGTTTCATTGAGCCTTTCTAATCGTATGTCATCATGAAGGAGATCCAAGCTTCGGCTTTATGTCGTCATAAATTGCGTAGATCTTCTTGCTCATTAGCGCTGAGACAGTAGCTTCATGCGAGTAGTCCTTCTTCATTGTCTTATACTACTCTTTATCTTCTTCCGCATCAGCTGAGGCCAGAAGAGACGGATGACCTCTCCCGAGTAGGTATGGGCTTAACGGCTCTTGATTGCCATTCAATTCATTCTTCGAGTCCGAGAAGAAGTCGAAGAATTGTGTTGCGTCGGCAGTGACCAGCTCGTCGAACGGCTGCTACTGGACATCCTTCGACAGCGGTGGCTCATAAATTTTGCTGAGTGCCATTTTGGGAAATCGCCTGGATAGCTGCTGGCCATCGCCCCTGCTCTGACAGTGCTTAAATGTCGTCGCCAAGCTTGATTTTGTTGAGATTTACGTCCAAATAAATTCCAGTTCATGCGCTTGGAAGTGAATTCTTGGAAGTTCAGCGTTTTACACTTTAGGTGCGACGATTTCCAATGTCTTTCTTCTTGTCATCGGGCTGACGCCGGATTAGTTGATCTCTGATGTGACGAGGATACGAAACTGTTGCTTGATGCATCAAACATTCCTTTTCCAAACAGCTAAAAATGTCGATTGGTGCGAGAGCGGCAGACCGTTCGCCGTCTACCAAAGCCATCTGCAAGGCGTCGTCTGACTGGCGAACACCTGCATGCTTTTTCAGAAGCTGCTCTTAGTGCCAGACCTAGCGTGTAGCATTATTCTATTGATGTCAATAGAACCCATGTTTTCGGAATTCAAAGGTTTCGGGTTCGAAGGTTCAAGATTGCAAATGTTCGCCATGTTTTCAAATTCGTTCTGATTCGTTGCAGCTATTGATAACTTTGGATGAGAGCAATTGATGTTCCGCAATCTGATCAATATGCAACTTTGCGAGCAGTCTTCAAGCAAGAACTTTACTGCTACAAACTTGAAGGGTCAGGTGGAATGTGTGGGTAAAATAGCTATGGAGGCGCTTCCGGAAAAGTCGAAAGTTCTAAAATTTGTGGTGAGATCCAATTTATCTGACGTCGTTGTACCATCACCAGCTCGCTTTTCTGTACAGGAAAAAAGCACCTAATGCAATTAGTTCCTGGTAGAGTTCAGGAATTCTTGCTCATGCCGACTCTTCAGGGTTTTAGTGAAGAAATAAGCTTGTTTCATTGTTACTCTTGCCTTTAGTGATTTGAAAGCTTGGCATCATACTAACGTAGGTGGAACTCACGGCTGGCAAATATGTGTGTGGAGTAGTTGTCCTGTCGGGTATGGGCATATCATGATCAGAAAGCTGCTTTAGGAGTGAATCGTAATGTAACCAAATGGGAAACAGAAACCATTACGGGGCGAAACTCTTTGAGAAGGTTCTGTGAGTAAAAGTGTGAAGATAGCCTCGATTTGTACTCGCGGTTTACGCATGATGTCGGATATTAACGTGGGCCTTCTCAAGCACAGCGACGACGATGCCGTCACGTGCGTCTATAGTACAACCGGGCGCCATGTACTATTCGCGCGTGATAGCCGCCAGACGTCGAAGCAGCCTGCTCAGCCCGGCCTGTCTCCTGCCGTCTCCATCGAGATCTCGTCGAGAAATTGCTGTTCTGTTCAACTTTTGGCATTTCACAAGCGCTGAGTCGCGGTTTTCAGTTTGATCCTTATGCCGCCCCATGAAACCCTCGATTAGATCTTCTGTGCTGCTATGAAGGCATTGTAGTCTGCAGGAACAATACTGTCCGCTACAGATCGTTCCTAAACTCACTTACCTAATATGAATTTTGAACCAAATCTCACAGGAATCGGGCGATTGATTTACGTGTTGCATGCCTGGTCTAGGATGTCAAAATTCGACGAAGGATAATATTCTGTAGACCTTCGGAAGAAGTATTGTGTTCTCTTGTGAAGCAATGCGGTCTTCTATTAGGCATGCTTTTTTGGGTTATCGCATATCAAATATTTTCACCCAGTCTTGGTTTGTGACATGGCTAATGCAAACGTTAATTTTAGAATCTGGCTTTTTGCGGAATGTATAACAGGTCATTTCATAGTGCTCATGTAGCAAGCAATATTTATACTGAATGGAGGAAGAGACGTTATCGGCTACCAACATATGTCTTAGGAATACGCCACACACCCGATTTCCTTTTTGAATTGTTACACTAGTGACTGGAATGCTGAGCACTCTAACTGGCAGTCTGCCAGACCGGCGTTTCTTTCTGAGAAATGCAACATGGCCCTATGAAATGCGTTGAAGTAGAGTTATATGGATCATATCGCACTCATAAGTGATTAGGTATCTTCAGCTGGGCGATAAATGTCAGATTTCCAGTTGAGCTGATTGCAGACTTTTTTGAAATGGTGACTTGTTTTTATAATTCCACCTTTACACGTGAATGTCCTCTCCTCTTCTTTTACCAGCTATCTGACATTCTCTGGAATGGAAGTCGCCCGAGTTCGGCGTTAATTTCGCAAGCGCGTTTAATGTCACGTTTTTTATAGACCTCATTGTTTTCGCTTTTGGCTTGAAACCATTAAAGGACCAGGAGATGTCTACTCGGAATGAGATGAGCGTTTTCCGTCACTTACTTGGGCTTCTGAGACTGTTGCTCCTCTATTTTCATTTGTACGTGGACTGGAGTGACCTATCGATTGACGCTTTAATAGATGTTTGTCTCTAATTCACTTTTTTATTTTGCTTTTTTTCAGTGGTCAAATGTGGCCATCGGCTGGTCCGATGCTACAAAGCCCAACATATCCACCCGGGCCGGCACCAACCGCTATGATGCAACAAATGCCCGGATACGGTATGTGTACTTCATGACTTGTTCAGTAGCTTTTTAAAAGGTTGCCCTATTTTTGAATGGTCAAAAAAGGCTTGTTTAGGTATGCAACCGTCGCCGTATCCAATGGACCCGGCAGGTGCGCGACCGCAGTATCCGCCTATGCAGGATCAGAACGCGGGCGGCTATGACCAGGTGATTTTCATGTCCTTAGAGGCGCTGTGGTCATAGACAAACAACAAATGCCCATGATACTGACATGGCCGTTTGACGATTTTGAAGGAGGCTGACCTCCGTGGCGTACACCGGAGTACACCATGGAGTTCACCTACTGTCAAAATTTATAGAAATTTTGAATTAAGAAATGTAGTAAAGAGACCAACCAACCAATTTCTGTGATATTTTTTCTTGTTCTATGCGTGACGAGCCCGTGTGCAAGAAAGTGTTTCGAGTAAGCTATAGTAGTAAGTGACCGGAAGGTTGTTGATCCAGAAGGTTCACAGTCCAGGATTTTCTCCGAGCTTTGGGCTTAACAATTATGGCTCCATCCTTTCACTCAAAAGCAGAAATGGTAGCACATTTTAAAGGTACTACTCAGGACGGTACCTGAACTTTTTGATCTACAAGCAACATTGCCCAATGCAGTCTTCTGGGTGTTTTTACGACTTATTTAAATCGGTTATCATTTTCTTTATATTCTTCTAAATACATTCAGAACGCGATGAATTACAATCAGCAACAACGAATGATGATGCTGCACCAGCAACAGCAAATGCAGCAGGTAAGATGCTACTTCTTTTTATAATGTATACTGTAAAAGGAACTCGTTATTTCACGACGTTCTCGAATTTTGAATACTATCGTTTTGCAGTGAATACCTGTGTTCCTTTACAGAAATCGTGAAAAAAAATAATTTTTCACCAGCCTCCGATAGTCGCAGAAAGCAAAAATTCCACATTGCGCTTTTTCCACACTCAATTTTTTGGACAATTGCCTCTTTATTTATGAGTTCTTACTTTCATTGTTCTCATGTAATTGTTAATGTTTTTTTTCATTTTCCTAGCATCTTTCCTTATACGCGTTTAAAACAATCGTCAAGCACCCTCTTGATGCTAATCCATCATAACAAGTTTTTTTTGGGTCACGTGACGCTTGGGCGAATTTTTGTTGACTACGTCGGATGTTTTCTCTTAAAAGATATTTTGTTTATGAGTGGTTATATGGAACGCAAATGGCTACTATAAAAGTTTGACAGATTTTGCTTGAGGCCTAGAAACGAATTGTGTCGTTTAATGGCAACTAATATTCCTCTTAAAAAAACTAGGACCAGGCATCTTGTGCTTCCGATCTGAACTGCCAAAATCCTGAAGATTGGACTCAGTCGCGCCCTCACTTCTTATTAGCACAACTTGGGTTTCACATAGGCGCTCCTTAAAAAAATCTGTTATTTTGTTACGCGTCTTGGAATGGCGATCCCATGGTTGGTTTATATTATAAACCGTCTAAAATACTTGGACTTACGGCGTGAACTGGGGTTTCTATTAGACTACCTTGACAAATTCTGGGTCTATTTTGAAGGCCGCACGTCGGGCCTGCCGGGGCATAAGGGATATGTTGTGCGGCGCCAAACGGCGTTCGGCCTAAAATCGTGGAGCGGTCCCTTTTAAATTGTTAAGAATTCAGCTTGTCAATTCCAACGCTGAAATCCAACGTAAAGCACCAACGATCGGATGAAATGTCAAAAGTGACAAAAAAGCATATCGATGTGATTTTATTTCATAACACCCACAAAATATTACTTACTCCATTGCATGCCTCAATTTCGCTATTATTTATTTTCCATTTCACATCCAACGTTTTTAATTTGAGCGAAGCCTTCGTGAGTTATCTTTTAAAGGCGACTTCATACCAATTTTCATATTTTTTGATTTTTTCTTTTTTCCATACTTGTTCTGAACTCTTATCTGTTCCATGATCGGAGTTTTTGACAGTAGTAGTAAATAGAGCTCCTTTCTGTTGGATAGTCAGGCTCTTCTCACCAATGTCATTTTGTCTTTTGTTCTCTGTCTTTCAGAGTAAATTTTGAACGTCCAATTTAAAGATCTATTTCGGAGCCTCTTGGAAAGGCAAGAATTGTAACGAACTACTATGACGTTAACCTGCCGGGATTCAGTGAAGGCTTACGATTATTCCAGTCATCTGAGGAAATATCGCTTCTGAGCCTATCAACGCTTGTTTTGGATAATTCAGTGTGCAAGGTTCCCAAGGTCTTTCCAACCCATATGTTAGGAGAAAGTTTGAGGCAGAACTCTTCATCTTCGGAGCTTTCCATCTTCAGACCTTCGTTGCAAAGATGGGGATTTTGCCTCATATTTCGTTTCTTCCGAGTTCGATGCTCGTGTTCGGTCTGACTTTTATTCTACTAAGCTTGAAACATACATGAGGGTAGGGGAAGGGGAAGGCGGTGCGTGGTATATTTTAAGGGTGTTGCAGCAATCGACATATTTATATATGATGCATGCTGCAGTATAGGTGAAGCTACGCAAGCGGTTGTTGGTGTTGTGGCAGCTGACTTGTTTGTGGAACTGATTCTCACTAGTACTACACCTACTCGTAATCGATCAAATAGTCCTTTGGGAATAGGCTTGAGGCGTGAATAATATTTTGTATCTACCTTCCGTTTGTGAATTTTAGATAGTCTTCACAACCTTAACTATCGTTTGGGATTGCTGGGAAGAGATTTTTGTGCGAGTGCCAAAATCTGAGGAAAAGCTCATCACATTAAGCAAAAAACCTGGACACATCAGGGGTGCGCGAGAAATCCCCGAACGATTCTGGAGGGGAGTGTGCTCGTTTTGTACAGTTTCCAGAGGGCATTTATTCGACACCCTTATAAAATCGAGTCAACCGGATGACCATTCCTATTCCGTCATAGATTGATGGTATTCGCATGGATGTTCATAGGGGCCCCTCGTGATTCACTGTACCGTATCTTTTCCTGTATAGCCTTGCTTTCATTCACTAACTATAGAAACAAAAATGTCGGTAAAGGGTGCCATTCGCTTGGGCTACATTTCAGTCGCTGTTTATGCCATCATTTTCTCCTCTGCTCTTGTTTCTTCTGGGTTTTGGTCGTCTATGTGGGGAGATTGTCCAAAAAACGTAGCTCTAAATCTGCAGCAACATGGCAGCAAGCATGGAAGAGTTCCTGGATTGCGGTGGCAGTCATCCTGTTGTTCCGCTCGGTGTGCCTGCAGAAAATATGCCATAAGGCCGGCAAATAATGGCGAGAAGATTCCTGGGCCACTACACTTTTGACTGCCTCAGGGTTTTTCGAAACGATAAATAAAATGTGAGGGCTTTAGATCGGTAGTCGTTAAATATTCGTTAGTTGCAATAAATGTCTTGTTGGGTGTTAACAAATCGTTGGAAGAGCAAGAACTCATCTCCCGCGAGCGTGTCGGGCTTTGGAATTCCTCAAGCAGTCTCGTCGTTCTTCTCGGAATAGCATCAATCCTGTGCTAGCAAACTTGGACTCCTGGGCCAGATTTTTTCACTCGCCGGGTCATTTCCCCTTCACGACGTCCTGCGTTGACTCGAATTAGTAACACTTAGATGAAGTGTTACAGGAGCTGTTTCGCGGAAAAGTCAAACTTCTCCAGTCTAATCTCGCTCCTCTTTGTTGAGTGATTTTTGGTTGATAAGCACATTAGCCCCATTATTACTTGCCGAGTCAGTGCACGGATTGATGTAAGCGCCTTTTGTTTGTGAAAGTCTGCCGTAAATGTGGGAGCGCTAGAATCAGCTCCACAAAAAGTCGTAGAAGATTCACTTGCTCACTCACATTTCGGTAAGTTATCGTTTGAGGGGCGGAAGTGGTGTAGTGGCAAGTGGCACGCTTACCACGCGAGCGGTCCGGGGATCAAATCCTGGGTCGTGAGTCGCCCGGGCCAACCAAGCCTTCCATCCCTCCGGGGTCGGTTAATTGGTACCAGACTTGTCTGGGAGGATAAAAACACTGACTTGTACATCGGCTGGCCCCCGCAAGTCATTGTATAGGCCACATCGCATTCAAACGCCACTACGAATGTACAAATGGAAGTAGAATGCGTGCCGCATCCCAAAAAGGGATTGATCAACGGCAAATGCTTTATCCTTTATCCTTTTACTTATCATTTGTGGGAAAATCCAAGTAAAGAGCTAAAATAGTATGGCCAAAGGGTAGTCGCTTCTATATTCTTAAATGTCCTCTCTCAAAGGAATACACTGGTACCTCTGGGAGGTTCACAATCTGTCCGAGGGGGGGGGGGAGTGAATGTGTGTGGTATGACAAAATAATAATCAAATGGTAATTTATCAATAAAAAATAAAGGTGAGCAATGCACCATACTTTGCTAATCGCTTTGCTAATCACCACTGTTTTGTTTCCTTTTTTCACTTAATATTCCTCACTCGTATTTGTTTTTTTTTTCAAGGAGAAGGATACATCGCTTATTATTATTCGAATATTGTAAGGTGAAGTAGGCAAAAACGAGTTGGGGTATGTACTGCAGAAGGGTCATTATGTGACCAGTTATATCGGGTTTCTTCAATGAGGTAGTTTCAGGCTCAAGCTCAAGCACGAGCTCGACGCGTTCCAAGCGTGGCAATGCAGCAGCAGCAACCTGGACAGCCATTCGATCCGATGTACCAGGGCGTTCCGATGGGGGTGAACAAGTACGTGACGAGAAGAGTGGCATACAGTATGAATTTGTACCGTAATGTTAGCCCTCCTTTTTCAGCGTTCCCGGCCAAACACAACCGTTGATGCGTTATCCGCAAAGCGCGATGGCGTCGCCTTCCTATCCGATGCCTGCCAACGCTCGACCTCCTGGTATGATGCCGTCGCCGGGATATCCCCAAATGGTAAGCGACTGATACGTAAATATAAATAGTAAATAAGGGGTCTAAACAAAATAGTGCAGAGGTAGAGAAAGGCGACTAAGTGATCAAAGTTTCGTGTTGAAAGTGCTGTAGCGGCGTATACCAGTTCTAGTTTCAGTATCGCGCTGGTGCTCCAATCCTTTACGGACAAGTACAACAACCCGCTCAACATCAGCAGGTACTGTTATAGCACTTCCACGTAATCCTACTACATTACTTCAGCGTTTCAACAGGCACAATTATTATGACGTGTTTAGGTGGTCTCGTACCCGAACCCGAATGCACCGCCTGATGGACGGTACAACGTCCCGTATGCGCCCGACGGAATGCCCCCTGTGATACTGCCGAAGGAGGTTGATCTTGAGACTTGTCAAGAATT